TGGTCTTCGTGTTTCATTGAAAACAGCATTGTATTCTGGCATAATCCTCAATTCTCTTTAGTGACAGTGATGTAATACATTCTATGGTATCTTTTTTAAAGTTAGGTTTATTGTATAATTTATATATAGTAAAATTCACTCTTTTAGTGTACAGTTCTGTGAGTTTTAAACAAATGTGAATAGTCGTATTTCCACTCCCACAATTTAGATTCAATTATTTTCATTATTATAAAATATTTGCTCTGACCATTTTGTAATGAGTCCTCTACCACACCTTGAGCCTCTGGCAGCCACTGGTTTGATTTTTATCCTGTAGTTTTGCCTTTTGCAGAATCTCCTGGAATGTCTGCCTATAATCATAAGATAGTAATACAACACATGACTGAATGCTGTGGAGATTAGAAATATTGGAGTTATGGATGGGCTTTTAAAAAATATTATTATTCCTTTTATTTGCAGCTAACGAGTACTATTTTTAGAAGGATTAAATACTGGCTTTCACTCTTCTCTGACTGTAGCTTTATGGTCCAAAAGTTCCAAAGGAGAAGCTTCTCTCATTTCCTTAGAACAGTCTGTTAAAATTGGTTTTAAATCATCTGTGCCATTTGGTTTTGAGAGTTGATTGTAGTAATTTGGTCTTTCCATGCTCAGTATCTCTTACATTTACATCTTCCAATAAAGGTTTGGGATCTTAAGTATTTTGTGTTACCATCCCACGCCCAGTTTGACTGAAGTGAAGATATTTAGCTGATCCTTTAAAAATGAAACATACATAATTTTAAAGTAACCAATCTTTTTTTTTATTATTGGTAACAAAATAAACCAGATAATCTGACTGTTAAGAACTAACGGAATAAATTACAAATATGGTCAAAACCAAGAATATAGTTTAATTTTTTAAATTAATTCCTTCCAGCCATGAGAAAAGCCTTCATGGTGAATCTTGTTTTCTTACTGCATAAATGTTCCATGTGGCCCCTTTTCTCCCTATTTTCTTCAGCTACGTGGCAGAAATGGCATCAAAAGAGTACATGGAAGTCGTGTGGATTTCTTGGTTGATCTGGAATGGTAGCAAAGCAGACTTTTAAGAAACAACTTCATTGAGATATAATTCACAAGCCATTCGATTGACCCTTAAAACTGTACAATTCAGTGGTTTTTAGCATATTCACAGAGTTGCGCCACCATCACCACAATTTCAGAACATTTTCATCCCACCAAAAAGAAACTATCTACCCATTAGTATAACTCCCCGTTTTCCCCCAGTCTGCCCAGTCTGAAGCAGCCACAAATGTACTTTCTGTCTCTCTAGATTATCCTATTCTGGACACTTCATAGAAATGGAGTCATACAACATGTGATGTTTTGTGACTGGCTTCTTTCACTCTGTGCTTCATTTTCTTGTACTGCTGATCAGTATTCCATTGCATGACTGTATCACGATTCTCTCTCTATTCATCAGCAAATTGTGATAAATTTATACATTTGTTCAGTCGATGGACATTCAGATTACTTATACACTCTGGCTCTGATGAGAAATGCTACTGTGAACGTTCATGTACGAGTCTTTGTGTGGTCATATGTTTTCATTCCCCGGGGGTGGAATTGCTGGGTCATATGATAACTCTATGTTTGACCTTTTCAGGAACTGCTTAACTGTTTACTGTTGAGGGTTGAGAGTGCCTTATGTAGCGAAGTCCTAGTCCCTTGTTGAATATGTGATTTGTGACTCTTCTCCCAGTCTATAGCTTATCTTTCCATCCTCTTAATAGGCTCTTTTATAGAGCAAAAGTTTTTAATTTTAATGAAGTCCACTTGACCAGTTTTCCTGTTTATGGATTGTGCGTTTGGTGTCAAGTCTGGCCTCGGGTATCAGAGATTTTTCTCCTACTTTTTTTTTCCTGGAAAGTTTTATAGTTTTACCTTCCACATTTAAGTCCACGATTCATTTTGAGTTAATTTTTGTAGAAGGTATGAGCCTTAGGTCAAGAGTCATACTTTTGTCTTTGGTTGGCCAGGTGTAGCAGCCCACTTGTTAAAGAGACTATTTGACTCCCTTGCTCTGCTTTTGCATATATGTCAAATATCATTTTGCATATTTGTGATTGTCTTTTTCTGGTTTTCTACTCTGTTCCATTAACCTAAAGCCACATAGTTTTAATAACTTTATATGATAAGTCTTGAAATGGGGCAGACTGGTATATTCCTACTCCCCCACTCCAAAATTCTTTTAGCTATTCCAGTTCCTTTGTCTTTCCATATGATTTTAGAATAATTTTGTCTATATGAACAAAAATATTGTGCTGGGATTTTGCTGGGAATTACATTAAACCTGTATGTAGAATATTGACATCTTTACTATGTAGAATATTTCAACTTGCGAACATGGTATGTCTCTCCATTTCATTTATTTAGGTCTCTTTGATATTTCAACAGTATTTTTTTTGTAGGTTTCAGCATACAAATCTTGTATATATTTTTTTAGATTTACATCTAAGATTTCAGTCTTTTTGAGCCATTGTTAGTAGTATTTTTTTTTATTTTTAGGTGTCCACGTGTTTGTTGCTGGCATATAGAAATATAATTTAAAACAGAATTTTTTGTAGTATGCAGACTTGCTATACTCACTTATTCAGTTTTGTTTTGTTTTGTTTTGTTTTGTTTTTTGTAGATTCCCTTAGATTTTCCATGTAGACAGTTATTTTTTTTTCCTTGACTAGGATTACCTTATCCATTCCAAACTGTATGTGTTTTCTTTTCTTGCTTTACTGCCCTAGTTGGAATTTCCAAAGGTATGTTAAGTGGCGGTGTGGACAGCTTTGCTTCGTTCTTGATCATAGGAGGAAAGCATTCAGTCTTTCTCTGTTAAGCAGAAAGTTAGCTGCAGATTTTTAGTAGATCCTCTTTATTAAGTTGAGCAAGTTCCCTTCTCTCCTCGATTCCTATTTTTCTGAGTTTTTTGAAATCATGAATTGATGTCAAATTTTGTCAAATTATTGACATGATCATATGATTTTTTTTTCATCTTTAGTCTGTTAAAATTTTGGATTACATTGATTGATTTTTGAATATAGAACCAGACTTAACATTCGTGGAAGAAATCTCACTTGATCATGGTGTATAATTCTTTTTATATGTTGTTGAATTCTACTTACATGTTGTTAAGGATTTTTGAGACTACATTCATGAGAGATATTGATCTCGCATGGAGTTTTACTTTTTGTTTGTTTGTTTGTACAGTTGAACATTGAACAACGTGGTTGTGAACTGAGTGGGTCCACTTGTATGTGGATTTTTTTCAATAGTGAATACTACAGTACTACCT